AAGTACATTTTCGTGCCTCTTTTATGTTTGTCAATCATTTATACAGAAATTGACAAAATAAAAAAGTGACACATTCAGTGTTAATGACCCCTAAAAAGTACATAAAACATGGTCATAAATTAACTGTAAATCATTGTTTTGTCAAATTATTTATGGTTTATGTAGAAAAATCAAAGTAATAGATATAATCCAGCATCAATTATATCATAATATCAGATGGTATATCGAGAGCTCGATGCGAAAGTGTTGTAACTCATATTAAATAAAGAAGGAGTTTAGACCCTTTCACACCAAGTTGTCGATATACCCATAAAGCGGGCTTGAAATTTCACATATTTCAGAAGTTTTACAGTTATGGTGTTTTATTATAAATAAATACAACTTCACTAAAACTATCATATTTTCATTCGGTGGGAAACTACCCTTCTTTGTATTAACACGTAATAAATATAATAAAATAAAACTCAAATATTCCCTACAATGAAATATTTTTGCTAATTGGAAAATTGTATAATTTCTCAAACAGGCATTTTAAAAGAATAAAATGTACGTCATACATGACTTATTTTGGTTAGACATGCATGTTATATTCTACTACAAGGTTAACGAAGTAAATCTTATTTATTTTGTACAAATAGTTTAACACTAATGTCAATGAAAAGTATTTCACATTCAAGATGCGCCAATATTAAAAATAAGAAAACCTTTTTGGTGCCTCGTAAAAGAAAATAGTAATAAATATTAACCGTTCTGATCTTGGATGTGTAACCTGCGCCGATATTTTTTTAATTCAGACAGTGCTTGAAAGGTAAAATGCCGCAGCATGGCCGAGCGGTTAACTGTTTGGACTTGTATTATAAGGATTGATGACAGTGTGGGTTCAAACCCAGAGCCGTTGTTTCCAAGAGCAAGAAACTCATCGCTTAGTACTGATTCGTTCAGGAACGGATTCGATAGTGTCTCATTGAGCTGATAGATTCTAACGCTATCGAACTGAAACGAATTCGTATCAACTAAACTGAAAGTACAAATATTAAAATACTAGGCTAAATAAATTATAGTTATTCAACTAGATTATTTTTCTCTATATTTGAAAGAATGAATATTATAACACCCAACACACATTATTTTATATCAAATTCTGGTATTCGTATTCCTGACATTTATAAATCTTTCCGGTGCATTACCTTATTATATTGACTTATATTGATAAGTGGTATTTGGTTTTAAGTGATGAAATATTTTCAAACCTAGCTAAAACTGATGCTTGCCCTTTCTCCAAATCCCTTCCGAGGCGTGCACGTCGCGGAGAAGACACACGGCAGGTCAAGGTCAAGTCGTCTTAAGTAGTTGGCCTGTCGTGATTAATTTGGGAGGATGGCACTAACAAGAGCCGTTTTATGTTAACCACCTGTTTGCTGCCGTCACGGAACATAATGCTTTGCCAGTATAGCCTTTTACTCCAACGAACGAAGAACAGGTTCAAGAATATCGGTTTGAAAAAGACGTAACCGATGTGACTTCTAGAGTGGATTGGCATGGACGCTGAGATCTCGGACATATAGAATTTCCGGCGCCGAACTCAAAACTAAACACACACACGCACGCACGTGCGCATACACACTCAGAAACTTGCCATAAGAAATAAACTCAAAGCAGCTTGAAACTTTGGCAATTTTCATATCTAGTTCATTTCGTGGTGTGTAACAATTTATTCACCGTGCTTTGATGTTTTGGTACCTGATGTTTCACTCACTATATCCCTGTGATTTATTAACACGGTTGGTCTTTATGGTTTTGTTATATAAATTACCATGAAAAAAGACGATAAGCTAGTTTAACGATTCAGATCATTTTAAACAAAAAATGATTGATTTAAATGAAACATAGAATTTGTCCTTCTATATTAAAGTGACTCGTTATAAGATACTTAAGTCCTAACACATACGTACGTCCTTTCAATACAGTACATTATAAAGGAAACCAGGAAATAGTTACTTTGTTACCATCAGATATAACAAGTTTGCTTCTTTAAAAAGAAGCATGCGAGAGGTATTTTTGCTGCTGTGGTAGATTTGTTTAATTCGAAAATATTTGGTGGTATTATGTGGCATAAAAGACACAGTGAATGGTTATAAATTACAATTTTTAAACAAAATAGAATTTATTATATATATTGCAATGAAAGTTTGTTTTACACTTCATCTTTTTTAATGTTTTAAAAAAATTATATGCCGGAGAAATGGACTTTTTTCTTGGCGCATTAGGGATACTTTTCTACAAAAAAAATGTAAAATTACTTAATGTAAATTAAATGATATATATCATTTACATTTGTATTTTGAATTCAGTTCCCTTTGTAGAAAAAGTATATATACATATTAAAAGTAGTATCAAAATAAAAGTTTCTTGTAAAGTTCAATAAGCAAATTTTCGGTCACTGTTTTGTTAAATATAATGAAACATTTCCTCTACATGTACATTTTCCAGAACGGGTATAAAGTATGTTAATCAAACAATTTTAAGTCCAGGGTTTACATAAAAAAAATGTTAATATCATTTGATTGAAATAAACAGTATACAGTGTTATATACTGTTTATTGGATTAAACAGTATATAAAGCTGCATGCCTCCAACCACAATATTAGAAGAAAATAAAACTTGAGGTAAAACTTGTGTGAGCCATTTGCGCCAAAAAAATTCTCTTTGCGTTATTCAGACATACCGGTTCAATACACGGTTCACTCGGTCATATAATAGTGTTTGTTTGTTTCATTTCACGCTTTATCCCAACAGTATTTCAGTCATATAGGCGGTTAGTTTCCCAACCATCGTTCCTGGAGAGTTACACCAGTACTAGACAAACCTTCCTCCGCGCTAAACTACCAAAGCATCTCCTGGGGATCGAACCCACGCCAGAGAGGTAACTGGATTAGAAGTTATCGACTCTAACCCCTCGACCACGGAGGCGGTATATATAATGCATGTTGATATTGTTTCTATAATGTTCACTGTTACTATTTATCGGAACATGAAATAGTAAAACGTTATTCAGAAAACAATACGGTAATCGATTTATACAGTTTAAAAGATTAAACGGAATGAAACATCCACGTAGTGCTAAGTAACGTAAATGATATTTTCCGATTTTTCTATGTACCGATTTGTTCACTTCGATGTTAATTTTTCGTTTAAGTTAAGCCGTATTTTGAAACGGGGCATGCGCAAAACAATTTTTGTAGACTGCTCCTAATGATTTTACGCTTAAAATGAGGTTCATTCACTACAATCAGATACGCAAAAATGGATGCCGCCAGCAATCAGTCTGAACACTATGGAGAGGTCTGATGACCTCTCCAATCAGGGAAGCGGATGTCCAGTGTAGCAGACGCCAAAGCTTACTACGAGTTGATCTCGACAGTGATGAGGTTTTAACTGCAGCAAAATATGTTGGATTAAAATATGTTGATAAGGAATATACTTATTAACTTCATTCAATAATTCCGCCTATATGACTGAGATACTGTTGCGAAAAGGCGTAAAATGAAACAAACAAACAAACAAACATTCAATAATTCTCAACAAGAATATGCTCGATATATATAAGTTTGATAACCGATATGATCCGTGTAATATTTCGAGATTATAATTATTAAATCTTCATAATAATCAGGCCAAGAAATATAGCTAAATGATTATAACTGTTCGCTAAAAAATCTCTTTAAACTTCTTCACATTTTAAATGTTCTAAATTAAAAACAGGATAAAGTTTATTACACAATACATATATTGACAGGGTTAATATGGTTGCTTTCACAGTAACAATTAAGTAATACAATAGTGACATGACATTGTAAGATGGGGTATAAATTGATATAGAAAGTAATACTCTTGAACGAAAATATTGTGAATAAAGTAGTATTATGAAAGCTATGCTAATGTTTTACGGTAATATAATTTTCAAATATGAGTTTAAAGGTCACAGTCATTCGAGTAGCAGACAAAGCTGTGGGTAATTAGTTCTATAAGATCCCAGGAGATCAGTAATGCAGTTCAGGGTTATACACGATTAAGGAATAACACAGTAGTCTTGTTTTCATAAACAATACAAAACAAAGATATGTCAAAGAGAAATATATTGTTCGAAATTTGGTACTGCTACAAATTTGGTTTTGTTGTTTATGTCATACATAACATTCCCCTCCTTCACCGCCCTTGTGTCCTCTCCCCGTTTTTTGTTCGGTTTCATCTAGGTGCCCTGCTGGTGTGGCTGGATTCTGTCGGGGCTGTGTTCTGTGAACGTTGCATTGCCTTATGGATCTTTATTCAGGTATTAATCTCCTCTCCATATCTTCAACAGTGTCAATGCAAAGTTCAAATGCAAAACGTATCAGGTCCTTTTGTATTCAACAGCGATATTTAAGAATCAGAACTGAAATATAATGCATGCCTTTTTACACTAAATAGTTATTCACAATTAAAGTGAAATTCAATGATATTCGGATTGTTTCATATTTCAAAAATGAACTATTTTTAGCAATATGCAAACCAGACATTTGGGTATTAAGTACATCACAAAGATCTCTCAAGCTAGACAGTGTCAGTTTAAAAAACACACAGTTTATTATTGACTGATTTTTTTTCACTTTACTTATATATTATAAAATATATATATCATTAATTCAGACTGTCGCTGTAAGCACAAAGACTAAAATATTTTCACAAATGTATATTACTGAGGTAAGTCTCTTGACTTAAAACTAGTATAAACATAGCTCAGTATCCAAACTCTTAAAATGTCAGTAACTTTATTTTGCTCAAGTATTAAACATAAATGTACTCTAATTTGAATCATTTCAAACTAAAAATATATATCGAGTATTATCCTTAAGTTTTTTTCATCATATTTAAAGAAAATGTTAAAAAAAAGCAATGATAATATATTTGCAAAGAACTCTGTAAAAGCTTATTATACATTGTAGTTTTTAATGCCAATTGTATACATTCAATTGCTGTACGACAGCCTCCTCAAATAAATCTTTGAAACATCATTGCTAAAGATAATGCAACACAAAGAAAGAAGAAAAACAAGAGTTAAGGCACACATTTCTCAATATTTTATACTTTATAAGAATATAATATCACAGTCTTTGCATTTTTAAGTATAAATTTCTTTTCTTAAATTACATATCATTTACATATAAATATAAACAATCACATTGATGTATACCTATTCAAGTATATTATGAGGTCAATAAAATAATCACAAGCATTAAATCTGTACACATGTAATGTACATGTGTCAATAAAAAGCTAATATAGATGAGTACAAAGGTTGTACGTTGGTTTTGTCTATAACTGTAAAGTGATATAATGAATTGCATGCAATGTGTTAAAAACAATATCCATGCATATGTCTACTTATGATAATTGGCTGCCCCAAACTGTACTAAAATCGTTTATGCTGAAACATGGATGGAAGCTTGGAAGTCTGCATATCGGTACATAAACAGGACTGCCTAAGGTTGTTCTATAGCAAAATACATATTTTACAATTGTTTCAAACTGACATACTAAATGATACTTAGCATGTTAGTTTACATATCTACTTAAAACATTGCATAAAGTATTTAGAAGGGTTAAATAGCACTGTCCACGTCTTCCTTATGAACACATTTTAATCTCAATCTCATTAGTAGGATCGTTTTTGTATTCCATATCTTCTTTCTGATTTTTAAAACACTTTGTTATATACCATTCGTTTCTTTTATTCTAGGCGAATTGCTTAATAGATAAACCTTTGTACATTATGGCATCCTAGTTGACGGAAGAATGAAACATCATATGTGACGACTGTGTCGATTCATGTTCTCTTTTGAAGTTAAAATATGCTAATCAAGATCAACAAGGAAAGGCGGCGTTTAATGAACGCAACATCTCCACGACCCAGCAACAAGAACCAGTGGCAAGGAGCCCAGGAGGACCAAAACATGAAATTTTGCGTATTCCATTAAAACGGTCCGTTTTGGTAGGTAAAAAACTTATCAGTTTCCAACTCACATCTTAGCTGATTTAATTTGGCATTTCCAATCCAAGTCTGAGTCTGGATATGTCTGAATATACATGTATATGTCTTAAACTTTTGATCACATAGGGGATCATTGTATTATAGTTAGTTCACAAACACAGTCGCGCCCCATATACCATTTACTTCAATCATGTTCGACTTCAGCATAGGCTGGTGTATGATTTATCACATACATATTACTTGTAAAGACATCATACATATTACTTGTAAAGACATATATTTATCTTAAACATCCACGTTTGTAATATGTGTTATTTTAATTGACAAAAAATAATTTATTATTTTTTCAAATCGACGTAATTTATAAGAATCATAAGTAAATGCAAAGATAGAGTTTTCACGTCTTTTGTTCAATTCAATACATCCTCTCTTCTGTAAGAACGAAAGATCAAAGAAGTCCTGACAAAGCGGATATACAGAGTAGACATTTGTAGGGAAATATTTCGAATTTGAAACAAACACTGCGTTCATATGTGTATCTGGAAGTTCTCCCCTATAAATAAACGGTGAATTACTTGATAATTGATCGTCTTTATATACCAAATTATAATATGATTGTAGATTATTATATATTATATATTGACTAGTTAGGAAATGGGCTCCAATTGCATCGTTTATATCTATCATAGGTTGATAAAGCGGTATATTATCAATAATCTGCTTCAAAAACGGATGTTTAGATCTACAAAATATTACATTGTCAGAAAGAACGTATGGTCTATGTTCTTTTACTGAAACAAGTTCAAACGAACGTGCTGGAAGTACGCATGCGTACTTGTAAGTTATCCTTTTCAATGATCTTAGACATTTCACTTTCATGTCACTGAAGGCACCGCCGAACTCGTAAAGTAGTGCATAACGAATTATGCTTGATCTTATTTCAAAATTTGCATAAGCATCCCAAGTCGGGATTAGTGATGGGTGTCTATCAGCTATAAGCTGTCGAGATGTTTCTTCTGTCCAAAACGAATACTTCCAGCTAGGATTGTAAAATAAGAAACTTTTTATATTTGTCACATATGATATTGGTATATTTAGATTTGTGTTGTACTGATGTAAAATGTGTGGTATTTTTGGAGTTATTGTCGCCACGGTCTGGAAATCTTCGTGCAGCTCCGGTTCAAATGGCGGATATTTTTCCGTCCTCACCCAGGTTGGTATTTCCACTGAAATAAAGAAACTTATTTATATAGGAACATGGTGGGAGAGTGAATTTTTTACCGACATAGCTGTCTGTTAATAAGTATACAAAAAATCTTCCATGAATCACTTCAGACAAAACTGGAACCATATATAAGCATATGCATACTATTTATCTTTGCTGCCAATGTTATGTAAACTCATCGATCTCCTTACACAATGGTTTTGTTGACTTTAATGGATATCTTTGATAGTTCACAGTGGCACTCGTTTTTTTCTCAATACTTCTCAATACGTGCGATTTACTGTCAAATAAGGATATACGTGCCATTTATTGTCAAATAAGGATATACTTGTACTGTCAAACAATACTTCATTGTCTGAAGTGGGAATTTGTTTAAGTCTTCGTTTACAATGTACTGCTTTTGTGATACAGAAAAGTTAAGATAAAATTTCTGATTAATATATATCTATAAAATACAGTTGAGTTGACCTAAACCTTTTTTTATATTTTTTTTATTTTTTTTATTTTTGTAAAACAGAAGACAGTAAAATACTCAAAGCCAAAAATCAATCAATATAGTTCATCTGTTCAAATAATTTATGTCGATGTACTGTGTTTGCAGAATACTTTAAACAAACAGATTATATGTTGATTTTGTTTCATATAGTTAGACTGGAAAAATATTGATCATTTCACATTGAATGAAGAGCATTATATTTGTGTCGTCTATTTTGAAACTACGGTATATTTTTAACAGTTAAAAGAACATATAATTTCAATATTTGTTCGATAAATAGTTAATTCCGACTATCCTAAATGATTGATTATTAAAATATTGATAACGACATACTAAAATAATGATAAGAAAACATAAGAACAGTGATTAGAGTATTTACTTATTGTACATGTATTAGAATGGCTGTGACATGTTTTGTCTAAAACCGGAATAGATAAGCTTTTGTCCTCCAGTTTAGTGTAACAACCGTGCAGTCTGTACAGGCTCAATACTGTTGGCAGCTCAACTTTAGTACTTTTCTATTCTCCTTACACGTTATTCTTACTTTAGAGCATGGCAAATCCGTTTGCCCGCACGAATTCAGCAGGTTAGTGTGTGTGTGTGTATAAATATATAATTGTATATTTCTGGTCCTTCGGGATCATTGATTCAACACTTTTCAGTGTTAAAAATTGAGTACCGCTTAAACAGGTGCTAGGGGGCGTGTAGGATGATGCACCTTTTTATTATCACTGGTATACAGACTTATTCAACCCCCCCCCCCCCGAGTCTTCAATTTTTATGTAATTTTATTGTAATAAATGCTTCCAACGGATCACACTTTATCCAGAATTTTATATATACACACACAAGTCTACTCACACATATACAGAAAAATCACACAGAAAATTGGCATGCTGCAGGCAGCCTGGACTCAAACCACCGGGCTTTACATGATAAAATTTTTATCATAATAATAATAATAATAATAAAAAGCAAGCATAATATTGAACTTATATTTAAGATAAAAAATATTTACCTATGTAGCTCTCAAATAAATTTCCACTTATTATCAAGACAAAAATAATAAAGCTCAGAAATTGTATTAAACGGTAATTCCTTTTACAAAAGCGTTTAAACATATTGAAATTATTTCTCTTTGATTTATTTATCCAATATTTCAATTTGCTTTAAATTAAAACTTGTATTATTGATATATATTCTTCATAAATCATGTATTCTAAATCTGTGTACGTCATCTCTAAGACTACGATGTGATTTGTATATTTCAAATTGTAACGAGTAGATAAAGCATGTTCCGATTTCAGACTTAAGTTAAATACAAAAAACAACAATACGCGTTCCTGCATGCAAAAAACAGCAAAGATCCGTTTAAAACAACAGAATTTCGTTGCGTTGAGAAATAATCCAGTGTTCTGCAAAGAAAAATAATTGAACTCTAGCGATCATTGTTTGATTAAAGCAATTATCTTCTCAATAGCATTTCACGTATCACGTAAGGTAAAAAGGGAAATACAATGTAAATATATATAGATCGATTTCCTAAAAACAATATTGTCGCAAGAGATTAATCTGCAATTTACCCGTATCAAATACCAAAAATAGTACTATTATAGCATTAAGATTTATTTACACTTCGATTTAAAGCATGTATTGTGTGTATTTTTAGTAGTTCAATGTATGGCATCTCTTTTGCACAGGATTTATTTGTTAATCTGAAACATACATACGTTTTTAATTTTAAGTGTTATAGTAACTGCGGATTTGTATCAAAAGGTTGACTGTTATAATGGTGATTGACCAACAGTTGATGTTTCATCTGCCTAAAATACGAAAAGACTGCCCCACTTTTTTTAATATTTGAACGTTACAGGTAATTTCTGATGAATATTTTTAGATATTTTTCCTTTTTGGGCCACGTGAGTTATTTATCATTCATGCTGAGTTTGTATAAAATTGTATGGAATTATGACAGAATAATAACTTATTTTTACCTGTTCACTCACTATATACCCTCGGATGGGCCTAAAGTCACTTTAAAATTATACATTTCGTATTTCTCGTCAAGATACATGTATATTGAAAATATATTGTTGAATGAAACATGCATATTTTTTGTTTGATGTTAAGAATACTAGCGGGATTTCATAATTAATTAAACTGGAAAAAAAACTTAAAAAGTAATAGAAAGGAATAGATACTTCGTATTTAATGAACGTTTTTCAAATAATATAAGGAACTTACGAACAACATTAAAGTTTTTGATAAGTATTCAAGTTTTTTTTCCATTTTTGCTACATGAATTAATTTACAAACTATGGCGTCACAATCTAGCGTAAATTACTAACGTACACACGCGTTCATACGCTCGCGCCCGCAGAAATACTTAACAGGTGCTTTAGTTGTATACGTTGCAGGCCCGCTGCATAACGTCGATATTCGTTCTCCTAGGCAAATACCGTTGTCAGTTGAGCGTAACGTTTGACAGGTAAGCCATACGCTAGATATAAGCTGAATACACAAACTTCCAGAAATTATAGGTCGGATGCGCTTCTAATTAGGTAACTTGATTGCTTCCCGTGTGGTTACGTGAATGTGGTGAGATAACTGTATTTGGATATCATCATCAGCCACATCACTATGATATATTTACGATGAATGAACAACGTACATCTTACAACTGACTTAAGAAGTAACCGTATTCTTGACAAATGATTGCCGTATTTATAAATAGAATAAAGCTATTGGAAAGCATTTGGCAAGGAGTCTATTCCGTTTACCTTGAAGATGAGACGAAGATCTTGAGTGAACGCTTCTCCCAACATGTATTTAACCTCAGAAATGTCCATCGAAGAACTATTTACTTTTTCAAATGTATCTCCAGACTTATCTTTTGCGCCCTTTCCTCTCCCTTGAACCGTAAGATCTTTTTTCCTGAAATAACGTCTGCTATGAAATTAATTCATACTATATGTCCATGATAATGCAACTGAATTCTAAAATACATCACATCTGGTATATTTACTGGTTGACATAACTTACATCGAATTACACAATCAAAATACAAATTCATTGCATACACCACACCATCAGCAAGCTTACATGTATATCATTAACTGAAATGTGTGTGCGTATTCAGTATGTCTTTGGACTTTGGTTGTTATTGCTATTAAATTATACATTTTTCATTTTCTTCTAAATGACGAACATAACACACGCTTGTGAACCTTGTAGTTTGTTCTAAGTATTTAAACGACCGTTTTATTTAATGCTGAATGGACGAAACACGAGCAAAACCAAAACAAGTAGCATGTCTTCCACTATATGATCAATCATAAGAAAAATATATATATAACAAAACATAGCGCGAATTTAAGTAACAAAATTGATAAGCAAATACTACATTTTTTAAGATGATCAAACATAGGTATACCAAAGTGAATGATATCGAGAGACAAAAAATACCTTGTTTGACGTTTTGCTTATTTTGTGCTGTTAGCTGACAAGATTCGTCATCTAAGCAATCTCACAAAATATACAAGTTGGTCGGTCTTTTCATATGTTTGGCATTATTACTCTTTCACTTTATATAAGTCTTGCTCATTAATCGGAACAACAAATAAATATAAAGCCTTCTTAATATAGTGTTTTCTTTCAATGTAGCTTCTAACTGATGTTTGTTAGACTAGTGTTAGCCCATTATTCCATTAATTTGACGTCGAATGGATGTTTTGTTTGAAAAACATGGATAACTTTATTTCAATAAACTTAATTGAATTAAAATTTATTTTAATACTTTCTCTGATACAGACTGAATTGTAATTTATACTCCTTCACAACATATTACCTGTCCCTGTGCAATAAAACTACCTATACCGCTTATTTTTTGTAATGAAACTGCTATTTACACGCTGTCTCTACTCAACTACTTCAACAAAATTACATGTCCTCCATGTAAATATTGTTAACATAATTATTCAAAATCCATAGACACAATATAATAAATGTTTAAACATTTTTTAATACATGGATTTATCTTCCTCTATGTTTTCCTTCTAGATAGATAACATGCTTCAGCAAAATGCAATGTCAGTTGTAATTACTGTTTACATAACAGTATTTTAAGATAGAGGTTCTGAAAAAAGAAACGAAACTAAGCCAAGCAATGCAAATGCTTGAAATCTTAGCATTAATTGATTTGCTTTGTGTGCTTTAAAACGAATTAATGAAAACAAACATAGATTAATTATTTAAGCGTAAATATTGGAACTCAGTGCGAACACATTGATTTTGACCTGCTGAACGCAGCAAAGTCTACGGAGCAAAGTTCGTGGAGAAAAATACAATTTCCTTTTTAAAAGATAACAAAAGGATATGGCGCAAATCCCAGTTGTGTATTTTAATTGTTGTGAGCTAAAGATACATTATCTTTTCTATTTCAAATAAGGAATGTGTGGGAAGTTTTAAGTTTTTACGATCAAGATTATTTTGACACGTTCAGCTGAGAAAATGTAAAAAAAATGCTAAACAAATGCTGAAATATTGCTCATATATTGTTGACAATAGTAAGTTGTTACAAAGTTGAAAGTGTCATCTAATGTACCAACTGATAAAGTACATAAAAAGGAAGAAATTATACTTTATACTTGATAACATTTTGATTATATTCAGTTTATACAAGAACATATCGAAGATCTTAGGATATGGTTTATTCATAAACATACTTGAAATATTATAACGCCTTAAATGTTAAGATGTTTCATAGATGGACATGATTAGTATTTGATTAAATATTCATTACATTCTTATAATTATAATTTGAATCTGATAATTAATATAGATACGTAAACGTTCAATGAACAAGATCAATATGTATCTTTATAGTTGATAGTTACCACCTTGTTTACTAATACAGTACATTGTAGAAATAAGATATTATTTCTACAGACAATCACAGTAAAGTGTCACTGGAAACGAGTTTTTCGGTAATAATGACTCTGAGACGAACATATATATGATAAGACGAGGTTCAAATGGTAAAGTTATGTATTGTGTTTATTTGGTTTAAACAGAATTGATGTTAGTACGATTGTTTTGGAAGCTAGAAGCTTATAGACACACTCTCGAATCCGTTCCTGGAACCAACCAGTACTGAGCAATGAGTGTAAAGAAACAAATGTAAAGAAACAAAAACTTTACCCTGAACGGGTTTGAGCCCACGTTGTTAGAAAATCATTAAGTCATGATTGTGTTTATTTCTTTGTTAAATTTTTGTCTTAAGTTGCTCGTGCTTTTGTGTGTGTGAGTGAGTGTGTGTGTGTGTTGTTTTTGTTTTTTGTTTTTTTTTTCTTTTTTTCAATGGAGGAAAATAGCAAATATTTGAATACTTGATAAAAAGGCGAATTGGCATATAAAACAATATTTTACAGTGTATACTTTTGAAAGTGGTGTCAGACTGTACATGTTTCCATTTTAAGAACTAATCATGGAGTCCTTAATATAGCACTTCGTTGATAGTTTTATTTTAAACATTAAATTGAATTTAGTTTAAGCAAACAGTTACACACGATGCCTCACTTTAAAACATTTCAAAAAGTTTTTTTTCCTTTGATCGAAAAAAGAAAATTCAAAAGTTTTCAGAAAAAGCAAGTCTTGGCGCAAAAATAACTTTTGCATAGTTTGTATATTAATTGAAAAATATAGTGCATTTGTTAAAAACCAATCTCTTTCTTGTAAACCGTTATGAAAGAAAAAATGTTCTTAATATCCAACTTACTTAAATTTTATAAGTTAAAACTATTGGCATAAAGTGCTCATTTTGTATGTACATCTTTAGAACTGCATTAAATTTAAATAAACATGAGAAAAAGCTCTATCATGAACCCTTACACTGCTAAAAGCGGAAAAATGATCAAAATAATAAGCCATCGACACACTTGTATAGACCCAGTCAGCCTGATCACCCCTGTTGTCTGACCAGGTTTTAAACTATTGACTGAGAAGTTTAAAATTAACATCTCCATACCCCCATAATATAGTGGACATTACCAAATGAGAAATGAGGACAAGTCAATTTGTGAAATTCAGCAGGACAAGGGTAGAATGTAAAAATCATGGTACACTTTTAAAATATAAATACTAATAACTTCAATTATGTGTTCTACAAAGAGAATATTTTTAAATAAATGTTAGTTCAGTAAAGAATGTAGGGGTGCAAGGGTGCGAACGTTTCAATTTGCATTGGCCCACATTATAATTGCTCATAACTTACAAGTTGATAAATATTTGCTTTTAATTTAGCGCGCAACACTAAGCATAACATTGATATTCGTATACATCTTTTGATTAAAGTCAATCTAGTCGCATGTTTGACTTTGGGTATCAGTTTGGACCAATTTTCACTCCATACAATTACATTTTTGAATCATTCAAAGTATTCAATCAGCAAAATATTATTAACCCACCTCTCTAT